CATTCCCCAGTGCTTGTCTGTCTGCTGAATCTAGTCAGCCTATCTAGAGATCCTTGTTTTAGGAAGATCAACTCTTCCTCATCTAGCAACAATCAGTTGTCAATATTCCTTTAGATAAGATTGGGGTCTGCTGTTCATTTTCCCAGTTCTATGCTGGGTTACTGTCTGGGAGTCTCTTGGGCCACCCTGGCCAATAACTCAAAGGAAGGTTATCTCCCGGCTGGCATTGTTTCTTGTTATGTAGCCTTTAGCTATACACATGGACTCTTAAAAGAAATATACTGATCACTTTAATGTTTGGTAATACTTTCTTTTTGGGTGTCTAAGACCACGCAGTTGGCCCAGATAAACCAATTTATTTTTACTCTTAAGATTGTTTGAGGATCTGCTCCTCAGGGGGTCACATGGGCTTAGGAGGAGCCCCTGGCTCCTTACCTCTACCAGTTCCATCTATGTGAAGACAAGTCACAGGTCCTGATCAACTGTAGACGGCTTCACTTGGAAGCATGGAGGAATAGTTTCCTCTGTGTTGACCCTCCTCTTTGTAGAGTGGACACTGGTTCAAGTCCATCTGGTGATGTCTCCATGGCCTCCTTGATCAAGAGGACAGGTGACTCACCATAGTTATAGGACCCAAACATATAGATGTAGGGCATGATTTTAGAAATCGGACACAATTTGCTCAGAAATTAAGCTAAGCAATTAACAAGTGGGACCTCATTCAACTAAAAAGCTTCTATACAGCAGAAGAAATGATCAAAAAAATAAAGAGAAAACCCACAGATTTGGTAAAAATCTCCACCAGTGACATATTTGACAGCGGTTTAACACCCAGAAAATATAACGAACTGAAAAGAACAAAGAATCAAGAAAGGAAGTCACCCAATTAAAAGATGGGCAAAGGATCTGAATAGAGAGCTCTCAAAAGAAGAAATAAAGATGGCTAAGAAGCATCTTAAGAGGTGTTCAACATCATTAGTAATCAGGGAAATGCAAATTAAAACCACTTTAAGATTTCATCCTACCCCACTCCAACCAGCTAAGATCAAGTGAACAAATGATACCAAATGTTGGAGAGGATGTGGGAAAAGGGGACTGCTCATCCACTGCTGGTGGGATTGAAATCTTGAGCAAGCACTTTTCCTTTTTTTTTTTTTTAAACCCACTGAGCCATCTCAACAGCCTGGACAATTCTTTTTACTACAAATATTTCTGAGGTCAGGACTTAGGATCGAAGTAGTCAGATACATAGTATACCTGTAAAGCAAGTATCCATTCACTCTCTACTACCACACATAACTATGAAAGCTCATTAATGAATTTTAAAATTCTCTCCTATTCAACATTAATATGTTCAGTCATCTGGAAACCCAAAAGCTTGTGACATTTTTGCTTTATTTTCGTTTTGGTGGTGCCTGATGACTGAAGTCAGGGTTTCTCACATGCTAAACAAATGCTCTACTACCACTGAGCAACAAGTCTCAGTCCACTACTGTATTTAACATTGCAAATAACATGGCACTGATTCTATGAACCACCAGACTCTGCTGACTTAATATGAATATTTCTATTAATTTACTGAAATACAAACTAGGTTCAGAATGGTCCACTCTCACACCTCTGACTGACTCTAATAAAGGCACCTAGTATAGTCACGTTATATAACCCTGGAATATCATGCCAATCCCTGTCAGAGTCCTGACTGTGCCTTTCTTCACACCTCCTGACCCCTGGATTGCAGCTCACAACACCGAATGCCCTGAATTCTCACACAGCTTCCAACACTCAGGTCCCAGGGAAGGTGACATCATTCCATAGTCACATCAATATAAACTTAATTGGTAATTCTCTTAGGAATAATTTTGATTATTGACAAGGCATATTAAACTACTAACACTAAACAAATGACAAAATTTAGTTTACTTCTAGAAAGTAGGCCCATCTTGCCCTTTAAAAATCTTTTTTTAAATATTTTATGTTATTTTTATTTTATGTGTATGAGTGTTATGCCTGCATGTGAGTAAGTGCACCCATGTCTTGCAATGCCTGTGGAGGACAGAAGAGGTTGTCAGATCCCCTGGAACTGGAGTTATGGACAGTTGTTAGCTGCCATGTGGGTGCTGGGATTCAAACCTGGGTCTTCTGCAAGAACAACCAGTGTTCTTAACTGCTGAGCCATCTCTCCAGCCCCAGAAAATTTCAAATGTAAATAAAAAATATAATAAAGTCCTATATACTTATCACTCAGCAATAACCACGAGTAATCTGATGATCTGAATCCTCAAGCATTTATACCCAGAAATGTGGAAGGGGGGCGGAGAGGGAATCCGTTTTTGGATTTAAAAAAAAAAAAATTCATTATTTTTATGTGTATGTGTGTATTGCCTGCATGTAGGTAAGTACACCCGTTTCCAGCAATGCTCGAGGAGGTCAGAAGAGGCTGTCAGATCCCCTGGAACTGGAGTTATGGACAGTTGTTAGCTGCCATGTGGGTGCTGGGATTCGAAGCCAGGTCCCCTGCAAGAACAGTCAGTGTTCTTAACTGCTGAGCTATCTCTCCAGCCCCACCCTTTAAAATAATCTTAAAGTACAATTCAGATTTAGAATGTAAACTTAGGATTCTGCCCACCCAGAGACACCAAAGACAGTCAATCCAAAAGTGCCGGCGTTTACAAAACAAGGACACGGGTCAGTATGACAGCATGCGGTGATGGGCACAAAGCCAGGATTGTGCATTTCCTAAAAACTTGCTATTTCAAAAAAATTTAATTACCAAGCTACTTAGGGATTTGTTAACCATGAATTAGTGAATATTCCATTAGTATCAGACTTTTTATTTTATACCTTTTAAGATAATAAAAGCAGCATTTATTGTAAAACTCAGGTATCACAGAAACAAAGTGGAGACACATCAGTCCACGTGCCCTGGTCCGACATGGTCCTCCTCACCTCCCCAAACTCCAATTCCAACTACCAGAGTTCAAACACATTCATGAAGTTAAACATTTAAAGGCAGGGTTTTGGATCAGATTCTTGTCATAGCTTCGATTAAGGCAGAAAATCAAATTAAATCACCCCGGAAGTGGGTGCTGAGCATTGACCTCAGAAACCAGTAGTTACCATTAAAGAGTAAACACACTCGTTCTGTCTGGTGGGCTTTGTGGCCTGTGGTTAATGATCATCTGGTTACATCCTCAAGGAAGGCAGATTTATTCTTAGTACTTCCTATATAGTCAACATTAAAACCAATGAAAATCAAACAAAAAGAACTATAAGATACTTAAAAACACTAAAAATAAATTATGATTTACTTAACAAAAGGGGAAAATGTTTCTTAAATCCTTACAAAACCCTCCTATAATCATTTTCTAGTGTTTGCCTGATGAATATGACATTGGTGCTCAAAGACAAAAATCTACAGAGCTAAGACAACAGGCACGAAGGCCTCTTCTTGATGGGACTTAAATGGAAAGAAAAACAAGCCACTCTGTTATGAAAGATGACTGCCACTGCATCAAGGAACCTGCCAGCATCCAGCAAGAATTCCCACTTCCCCTTTCCCAAACGTATCACCATTTAACTTCATAAAATAAAACTCCAAGGGAATCCTGCAAGTTCTTTCCTGAGATGAGCATCTGATCAAACATGCTGCCAACTCCATGATATTTTAATCTTCAAGGAAAATTAGGGCTTGGGGAGGCAGCCAGTGCTTGACCCCTGCTCCTTTCACAACTACTCACTCACAGGACAGGAACTGTTTCACAGGTGCTTTCAAGGCAAAAGAACTGAGAGATCAAAGCTGCTTCTTAAGGGCATTTGACTCATTCGTTATTAAAAAATTAAGAATTTTCTAGGCTTTCCTAAAAATGATTCAAGTCTATTTTCTTAACTTTATTATTTGTTATACATTATTACATAGAAATGTAATAATTAAGTATTTTATAGTTTCTAAAGAAGACAGCTGTACACATTGCAAATACAGTTAACTGTTGAAAAAAATCAGTATGTGTTAAGAATTGAAATACTGAACAAACGTGTTACAGGAGATGCACTGTTAGTGCAATGGTCACCTTGACAGAATCTAGAATCACATGGGAGAGGCCTCTGGGCCTGCCTGTGGGGATTATCTTGATCTTATTAAGTGAGGTGGGAGACCTGCCCACTACAAGTGGCATCATTTCGTGGCTGGGGCCCTGGACTGTATAAATGAAGAAAGGAGCTGAGCAGCAGTGTGCATGAGTCACTCTCCACTTTCTGACTGTGGATGAGAGTGACCAGCTGCTGCCCTGACATCCCCACCAGATGGATTGTGTTCCACAGTAAACCCTTTCCCCCTTAAGTTGCTTTTGTCAGGGTGTTTTATCACAGCAGCAGGAAAAGAAACTAGGGAGAAACACACAACCAAAACTGAACTCTGGAAGTTCAAAGACCCAGGAGATATGAGTAGGTGTCCAGCCATTGTGGGGAAGGGGGCAGTGGAGAACAGAACAGCAAAGTACCCAGAGAGGACGGCACAGTAGTTTCCTTAGAAATAACGTAGTTCCCGCCCCTGCAAGCCCATGTGGGGAAAAGCTCAGGGAGACTCCATCACCAAGGACATTAGTACACAGTCCTATTCTTTTTTTGAAAAAAAAATTTATTTTATATGTATGGGTTTTTTGCCTGCATGTGTGTAAGGGCACCATGTGGGTGCAATGCCCTGCAAAGGCCAGAAGAAGGTGTCAGATCTCCTGAACTGGGGTTACAGATGGTTGTTAGCTACCATGTGGGAACTAGGTATCAAATCTGGGTCCACCGGAAGAACAGCAAGTGTTCTTAAACCATCTCTCCAGCTCCTATATTCTCCTATTCTGTAAAGAATACAGTTAGTAACTTTACCACAAATATTTTTTGGTAGAAATGAGAACTAAGACAAAGTAAGCTTAGCTTCCTTTTAAAATGTCATTGAATATAGCTTTATTGAGATAATTCAAATAGCAAACAATTCACCAACTATATGAACCAGTGATTTCTGGTGCAATTTAGAGTCCTGCCAAACACCTAATTAGTTTTATCCCATTTTCATCATCTGAGAAATAACACTGCCACTCATTAGGAGTCAACAGACTGAAGATCAGCCAGTGTTTTCCAAAGCTCTAGCACCATTTTGGATTCCCACCAGGGCTGTTCATGTTGTTTTCTCCACGTCCTTGTCAGCACTTATTATCCAACCTGCTTCACGAATTTGTAGGTCATCCTTGCACAGAGGCCAGGCTAATCTCTGTATCATTCAATTTTAGTAAATATGCGGCTGAAGTGAACACTGCCATCTGCCTTTTTAACGACAGCTTTCCTAGAAGGTATGAAGTAGCATCTCGTTGTTTTGATTTGCATTTTTTTTTTTTTTTTTTTTTTTTTTGAGACAGAGTCTCCCTGTAGCCCAGCTGGCTTGGAACTCCCTACATACACCAGGCTGACCTGGAACTCACAGAGATCCACCTGCCTCTTTCTCCCAAGTGCTGGGATTAGAGGTGTGCTCCACCAACATGACTTGCTTTCCAATGCAATGATGCTGATGGAGCTGAGCACCTTACCTTGGGCTAACTGGCCATTCATCTATCTTCAAAAAAATTTCTGTTCAAATCATTTGCTCATTTTAAAATTTGTCTTATTATTAAGTTGTAAGAATTCTTTATATAGTCTAGAGCCTAGATCCTTATCAGATACCTGGCTTGTAAATACTACTTCCCTTGGATTGCATTTTCACTTTCTTGGTGGTATCTTTGGAAGTTTTTAATTTCAATGAAGTCCAAGTTTTCTTCTTTTTCCTTCTCGTGCTTTCTAGGCCAGATCGAAGAAACCAATGCCTAATCCAAGGTCATGAAGACTTAATTCTTTTCTAAAAGATTTATAATTTTAGCTCTTACTACTTAGGTTCAATCCATTTGAGTTAGTTTTTGCAATGTGAAATAGGGGACCAACTTCATTATTTGCACTTGGATAGCCTAGTAGCCAGGATCATTTGGTGAAAAGGGTATTCTTGCCCAACCATTGAATTGTCTACCTACATATTTTGAAAATCAATTGGCCATTAATATCAGGGTTTTTTCCTAACACAGAGTTATCAGTCTACCTGAATGTCAGAAACACAGTCCTAACTTCCTTCTTTTTAAGATTGTTTGGCTACTCTGGATTCCTTTAATTTTGATACAATTTTAGGATCAGTTGTCATTTTCTGAATAGAAATGAACCCCTGTCATGCCAACAGGGTTCTAGTAGCGTACGTGGGTACACACGTGTACAAACAAGTGCATGAGTGTGAGGCCAGAGGACAACTCTGGGTGTCCTTCCAACATCAGCCTTTGGTTGGGACAGGGTCCCTCACTTGAGGCCTGGAACTCTGCCAGGCAGGCTAGACTAGCAGGCCAGTGGGCTTCTAGGCTCCTCCTATTTCTCTGTCTGCCCTCTTATCTTGGCTGGGATTACAGGTGAGTGCTACCAGGCCTGGCTCTCTAAATGGGTTGTAGGAATTGAACTCAGGTCCTCAAGTATACTTGCAAAGCAAGTACTTTATCAATCGAGCTCTCTCTCTAGCCCTAAATACAATTTTAAGATAAAAAATAAGAATACAATTTTGTTAAACTCAATATGGTGTTGACAAAAATAACTGACATAACAAAATATAAGACATGAAATGCATAAAAATGATTCTAATTAATCTGAAAGAAATTCAGATTAATTTTAATATTCTGGACTTAGAGGGCTACTTTTAAAAATAAGAACATGAAACTGAGAGGGGACACACATTGGGGAGGACCTGGAAGGAGTTGGAGGGTGGAAATGGGGGGTGGATATGATATTTCATTGTATGCATGTATGAAATTTTCAATGAATTTTTAAAAATCAATGAAAGCATTTGGTGGGAATTAGTTTCTTACATGGAATTTGCAATAAAGTGTATTATTGCCTTAAAAAGGGTAATGAATGACAAGGATATACACTATGATTTTGTCTCAGATAAGAGGAAACTAAAGAAATATCACTTGATACTGACTTGAATGGGGATCTGAAAGAAAAGAGGAAACAAAAATGGGGGGGGTGTGTTAAGAGACATCACTAGGAAAAAATCTATGACATGGATGTAGTCTGGATCCATGGTGATGCATCAACCCTACTTTCTGGCGTGCTGGCTGTGCTTGGCTAAGCTGTTGTCATTTTCAGGCAGCACACACTGGAACACTTAGAGATGATGCTCAACTTACTTGCAACCTTTTCTCAAACAGCTTAGAAAAAGTTCAGAGTGCCCAGGAGGAAATGGCAAGGCAGGGGGTGGCACACTAACAGTGTGAGGAGATTCACTCAGAGGCTCTCTGTGTCACCCTCCTAATTAGCACATGCTGACACATGGACACAACTATTTTGAGACACAAAGCCAAATTCCCATTTAGAACGAATGGTAACCATAATCGATTTCCAAAGAGTAAATTTAGCATTAGACTGATCCCTAATTCTAAGAATTAAACTAAAAACTTCTGTAAGCAGATACCACCAATCTTTGAGAATTTTAGGGGCATAAAAATAAATTTAGTATTAACCTTATAAGCAAATAAAAATTCATGCAGAAAGAACAGTGTGGGTTTTCCTATGGAACTTGGACCGAGTGGTGGAAATAGCATATGAATTCATTTTCAGAGAAATTTAGGATACTCTACTATCCAAGAAAGATGCCCTCTCCCAATCCCCACCCCTTTACTCTTTATATTGCCAAAGGTCCCAACCCAGAAATCCATTCTCATCTGTACTTGTGACCTCAGTCCAGTCAATATATAATCTCTGTATATGTCACTGTCTCCTGTAATCAATTTTCTGTTCATTCTTTTCCACTAATTCTCATGAAAGTTTAGGTGTCTGCTCTGCCACTTGGTGCAAACAAAACTTTTTCACCCTCTTACCTGCTGGTTTCTTCCCTTTTCCAAATGAGCACATATTAGCCATCCCTCTCCTCCCACTCAATCCACAATCTCCCTCAATGTGTATCTTGGCCTAGTCGCTTTCACTCTAATTACAAAGGTCAAAAGGTCTCCTTGTTCTTGAATACAATGGCTACACTTCAACCTGCCTCACCCCCAGGGAAGTGTGAGCTCAGAGGACCACTTGCTCCACCTTGAACTGCCTTCTCAGTATTCTGGAGGACAAGTTTCTTAACCTAGCCAGTGCTACAGTGACTCAGGGCACTCAAGGAACAATCCTACCAGCTGCCAATTTTGATGCTGAGAGATGCAGAAATTCCCTGTAAAGCAATAAAGGGATCTGGGGCAGATTAATCGGCAATTGCGGGTTTTGTGGCCAATCATTCCAATGATCAAAAAAAAAAAAAAAAAAAAAAAATTAAAGCAGCTTTTAAGACCGTGTACAGCAAGATTTAATCAAAGGTCTCCAGTGAGAGTCAAGTGGAAAGAAGAACCGCCCCTCGCCCTGCTTGCACCTTCCCACGTGATGGCTGCAGTTCACGGATTCAGTGCAGGGAGCAGGAACTCAGGAATGTGCATTGATTGATGTTTTGTGCATAAGAACAAGCCAAGAAATTTGAGAAAATTTCAAATGTTGTCAGTAAGAATTTGGATGAGATCTTGAAAAGGATATTAGGTAAGAAACCTCAGAGCATTTCGAATGCCCGCTTCTATCCATATGCCAGGGAAATCATGATGGGAATCAGAGTATAAACTACCAGGTGACTCAGGAAGATGTTCAGTGTCTGTCAAGCTGGGAGGAGGGACTGTGGACAGATGAATCCTGTTTTAACACAGTCCTTGACACATGAAGTTTCCTCCAGCTGAAAGCCACCATGGAGGCTTCTTCCCAGATGACTAGTGGCAGCTTGTTAGGTAATGTGGACCATGAGTTTTCCAGCTGTCCTGAAAGTGGTTTGAAGACCATTTTGCAGTGCGCCCTGCCACCCTGTTTTCTCTGCTAAGCCACTCTACTTTTCCAGGAAAGGTGCTGGCACAGGACCTGAAGAGATAATTCAGTGGTACTGCTCTTGAAGAAGACCTGAGCTAGGGGTGGGCAGCTCACAACTACCTGTAACTCCAGCTCCAGGAGATCTGGCACCTCTGGCTTCCTCTAGCACCAGCACTCACGTGCACATACCAATATACAGACCTACATATATACACCCAATTAGAAAACAACAATAAAAATTAAAAACTGTAAAACAGGAGGGCTTCTACTTCAAGAAGAGGAGACTGACCTGCTTTTCTCCACTTTCCCCACTAAGTACAACTGAAATCCATGTACATTACTTACAAAACATGCCTAAAGAGACCCTGAGAGGTGAGAGAAGGCACCACAGCCAGGCCCTTTGACTGGCCTTGAACTCACAGAGATCCACCTGCCTCTGCCTCGCAAGTGCTAGGATTAAAGGAATGGGCCACCACGCCCCGCTTGAGACCTGCATTTTAAACTCCCCACTTTTCTTCTTTCCAAGGTTACTGCAGAAGCCTGAGACCCTGCAGCACCAACACACAGAGACTAGAAAAACAAAGCCAAGTCCTCTAGCCAACATACCATGAAAGGGATACTTAACAAAAGAGACCTGGTAGGAAGAACCTCAGAAAACACAAGAGTTGTTATGGTAACTGTTCTAGTTTGCCTTCAATTGCTGTGACAAAACACCCTGACCAATACCAACTGAGGGAGGAAAGGATTTATTTCATCTCACATCTCCTGGGTCACAGTTCATCATGAAGGAGCCCAAGGTAGGAACTCAGGGCAGAAACCTGGAGGCAGGAGCTGGAGCACAGACCACAGAGGAACACTGCTTACTGGCTTGCTCCCCTGGTCCCTGCTCAGCCTGCTTTCTTATACAACATAGGCCCACCTGCCCAGGGATGGCATCACCCACAGTAGGCTGGGCCCTCCCACATCACTCAAAAATCAAGAAAATACCCCACAGACATGGCCACAGGCCAGTCCAATGGAGGCAATTTCCCATTTGAGGCTCCCTCTATCCAGATGTGTGAAGTTGACACTGAAGTTATCCAGCACACTGTCCTAAAGTAGAAACAGCTCCTATGTCCTTCTACAGGTGAAGTTACACCTAGCATCCATCTGTATCATGGAATACTACTCAGCAATAAAAAGGAACTGACTACTGACCCAGTGAGAGACTAAGGAGAAACACAGAGCCTCAAAAGAAATGTAGGAAAGTATGTATGCTGTTCTTATTGAGACATGTCTTTGCAACCTACTTATTTTGTACCCCCCCCAAAAAAAGTCCTATTAAAAACCCCTCTGAGATTAGCAAAGGAGGCATTTTCTGGCT